ATATAGATACATACAACAGACAGTACTATTATATTTATATAGATACATACAACAGACAGTACTATTATATTTATATAGATACCAGTTTAATGTGTACAAAATTCAATAAACACATTACGGTATCGAATGCTGCGTTCATTCTGTTGTTTATTTGTTTTCAGCGCAAAACTACGCAATAGGCTATTTGCGTTTGTCTACCGCAGGGTATCGAACCCCGGATTTTAGTGTTATAAGCCAGTGAATTTACCCCTGGTTTGCCGGAGAATTACACTTTTGTTCTTCATTTAAAAGAAATTTGTAAACTACAGAGTAGAAAAGTCTTACTTCTTGTTATGAAACTGTTTCTGTCGTTATTTCCATAACAATAAAACATAAGATATCTTTTAACCTACCGGGAAAATTATCAATTAATCTCAAATGTTCAAAATATAAAGTTTTTTAAACATAAGATATCTTTTAACCTACCGGGAAAATTATCAATTAATCTCAGATGTTCAAAATATAAAGTTTTTTTGTATTTATTTTATACCAGGTGAAACATCTCTCCAGCTGACACCGCTAGATGGCGAAGGAAATGTACATTTCAAAGTATTTTTAGCATAAAAACAAGAGATGCTAAACGAAAAATAAAACAACTGTTTTTCAAGTATCAGATCCTATAATCATCCTATATATAATTTAAAAAGTATGATAAAATACGGCAATGAAACATTAACTGCTATCATAATTAATTCGCAAAATGTAAAAAAAAAAACAAACTGAGTTTATCCTGAGATCTAAGTCATAACATAATTAAATATAGAGGGCGCACTACATTACCTCAAATTCTGTGTTTTCCTCAACGTTTCCTGAAGTGTGAACTTCCATAGGCCCTTTGTCTGCGAGCAAAAGTAAAATAAATAGCGATCAAATAATTAAATGTCAGATTTTAGAACTAGTTGTAGAAAAATAATAAAGATAGCATGAAAAACATAAAAATAAATGAATAAAAAACCTAAAAAAAGAGTTAACGTCAACCACAGTATGGTGCTTGTGAGATCATAAAGGTCAATAAATCACATAAAAACATAAATTAAACTCAAATGCTTTCGACAGGTGGACTTGTTTACGGTATAGTGTTTATTTATTTGAAATGCAAGCTACCCAATGAGCTATCTAAAATGTGGCCATCGCAGGGATTAAACCCTAAGTTACAGCTTACTACTGAGCCACATGGGAGCTCTCTCGTGATAAAGGCAGAAACTTGATAGGCAAATGTCTGTGTTCTGTAACTGCATATTTCTCGTGAGAGTTTGTTACAACTCTCCTCAACGCCAGTTTTTTTTCTTTGGCACATTTTGTTATATTACAACCAGCACACCATGTTATACTACAACCAGCACATCATGTTATATTACAACCAGCACACCATGTTATACTACATCCAGCACATTTTAAAAAAAAAATCTAATTTTTTCCACAGAAATATTTAAAAACAAAATTGTGAAACCATCAACTTCTGGACTTACAACATTAAAATCCAGCGTTCTATTCCCAGCGGTGGATACAGCAGATAGCCAAATGCGACTTTACTCTAAAAACAAAAAAAAGGCCCCATCCAAATAACATTTGTCTTATAATAAATACCTTTTAAACCAAAAAATATTTCTATTGTATTTTCAAGAAATTTTTCCCAGCCATCAAATATAACACATGTATCGTTTTAATAATATTGTAAAAGTTTAATTTCCTTATCTTTTTTAACAAATTTTTATATTGTTATTTTCACGAATAAAGATTCCCCAATTTTCCACACAAAGAAGAAATAAACGTATTTGTATCCTCTACAAACTTTGAATTTTTCGTAAGTTTTCTATTATTAAAGACATAAGATTCAGAATCCCTGTAATAAGTTTTATTCAATTTATGAAGTTAATTCCAAACTTAAAAAAAAATTAAACTTTAAACATTATACTTGAGAATCTATAATCAACAGTAATCCCATTTCATTATGTTCCAATAAATAACCCATAATATCATAAATTTGTCTAATATTTTCACCTATAAATTACCCTTTCAAAAACAAAAGTTTTTTGCCATGAATCAACACTGCTGATATATTTTCAGTAGAGTTCACCCAACAAGTCTTATTTATTTTATGATAAACCAGCAGAAGGGGGATCGGACCCCACTTTTACAAAAAATGTCCATATTTGCCATCTTTTGGAATCAATGTAATAATGCCAGTTTTCATTGTTTCAGGTAATGTTCCATTTTTCAAAACAAAAATAATAGCTCTATAGACAAAAAATCTAAATTTTTTCCACAGAAAAGCTGTAAAACATCTAAAAAAGAATAAAAGTCCAGAAGTTGATGGTTTCACAATTTTGTTTTTAAATACATCATAAGTAATATATTTACCCAAATTTTGTATCAGCTTTAGAGGCAACATTTCATAATTACAATATTTAAGTAGTTCATGTAAATATTTTTTTCTCTTAAAATTCTATCTTTATCTGTATGTAGCATAATCATTTTTCTGAGCTTTCAAAATATCATTTTCATTTCTAATCTGTAGACCATCTAAATTCAATCTTTCTTTAATATTCTGAATCACAAAATTAACGGTCCCCCGGTAAGTTTATGGACTTAGAGTGCTAAAATTCGGAGTTCGATTCCGCGTGTTGAACACAGAAGATACTCTAACGTGTCTTTGCTCTAAAACAAACAAAAATAACGATTAGATTTCTCTCTCGAAACTTATACCTTCGGACTTTTTGATTTAAGTATTTGAATGTAATTTAATTCCCTTTTCTTCACCAAAATTAGCAGAATCCTCTAACCTTTGTAAGTCACTAATTAACTCATTTTCTTCTTGTCCGTGTATTTTCTTTTATAACACCCATAGCTTATCGTAATAAAACTAAGTAACGCTTCCGAGAAAATACAATTGTTCACATATAACTGTCTTCAAATTTTCAGTAGTTCCTTCCTTTCATCACCCGATTATTTTTTTATTTAAATAGATAGCCGAATGATCAGTCATCAGTGCTGTAAGAAAGGCCTGTATCACTAGTAATAACCGTATTAAACACACAGTCAGAGTCTAAAAAGAAATCCAGGTCAGCTTCTTTTACGGGATTATGTTGTCTACAAATTTATGTTTGTCATTAAGTTAAAAAATTATCCAGTTATAGACCATAATCTTCCATAATGTTAATATCTGCTTCTTGATTTTTAAAATCATTAACAGTAGCGTCCCCGATGAGACAGTGGTAAGTTTACGAACTAATAACACTTAAATCCAGGGTTCGTTTCCCGCGATGAACACAGCAAATAGCCCAATGTTTGTGGTTTTGCTCTAAAACAAAAACAAAGCACGTTGTCCCCCCCCCCGGTTGGGACAGCGGTAAGTTTACGAGCGAATAATACTAAAATCCAGGGTTTGATTCCCCGTGTTAGACACAACAAATAGCCCAATGTTTGTGGTTTTGCTCTAAAACAAAAAACAAAGCACAGCGGTAGGTTTACGGATTTGTAACTCTTAAATCCTGAGTGCGATTCCCCGCGATGGATACAGCGGATAGTCCAATGTTTATGGCTTTGCTTTCTGTCATGATATAAAAAACTGTTTGGTTTAAATATTAGTGATTAATTTATATTTGCGAGTGAATATTTTTTTTTAAAGCAGACGATTGTAGGTTTTGTTAATCACTAATTGGTGTCGAGAATATAGAAAGTAGCCAGACGACTATGTAATAAAGATATAAATAGCGTGAGATTAACGGGAAGCAGCAAACAGACGTTATTAGACAGAAAAAGTGAGGAGAATATAGTTGGTATGAAGTTAAATAACGTACAAGTGATAGGCCTAACGACTGACATAGGCCTAACGTTTAATATATTTGATATATATATGTATTAGACTGAAACTAACAGTGGAAAAGGAAATAAGAAAAAAATAAATTTATTCCGTCAAAGCGAAATTCTAAAGTAATTGAATCAGCCTGATAAAAGGAACATAGGATCTTCAGAAAAAAAGAAGACCACAATCGTAAGTGAATCACACAAGACTAATAATAATATTATGATAGTATTAGAGAAAATAGTTCGGCTTGTCAACCGACATTCTAAAATAATGGAACAGGCCTAAGTGGATTTTTGACAAGAAAAGAACTATACCGATATAACATTTATGATATGCTTATATTCTCTATAGTGTGAACACTTTATTGTACATACGCTTAACTTGTTCCGAATATATATATTATTTGAAAATAAGTAACGTGTGTGTTGTTTATTCATCTTTGAATTTATCGCTAACAAGTCTTAGACACCTACTGTAGAAGAATTCTATGCCCAACAACAACATAGTATATATTTATACTATTAAAAAAATATAAGTAAAAGCCATTTATTTCGACAATTGGCAAAAAGAAGAACTTGTATATATATATTTATTTTTAAAATCTGACACTTTCAAACAAACAAAGCGGTAAGCTTACGACTTAACAACACTAAAATCTGGGGCTCGATTTCCAACAATGGACATACCAAATAGCCCGATATGGCTTTCTTGTAAAACAAACAAATTCTCCTCAAAATGGAGTTTATAGAAGCAAAGAATTGATGCTTTTTTGTCCATAAATGTTTTACATATTTCTCCGTTTTTTGCTATCTGTTAACTCTCTAATATAGTGGTTCTCAAACGTTTCTGCTCGCTTATAAGTTATATTACTTTTACTTATGTACAAATGTAGGCTTAATAATAATAATAAGAAGAAGAATAGACAAGCGAAAAATCTAATAGTAAAAATTAATATTCTAAACGCTTACCCATGATTGGAAAGGATTTGATTGTTTTTTATAGCACAATTGAAGAATAAGTTGTGTGAATTTTGTCAATTCAAAGGCAAGAAAACACTGGCGAGTCTATGCAGGCGGAGCGCAAATCTATAAGTGAGGAGAGTAGTGTGTATATGTACGCTGGAAGCTCACATGGACCCTCCAGTGGCACAGCGGTAAGTCCGCGAACTTATAAAGCTAGAAACTGGGTCTCGATATTTGTGGTGGGCACAACATAGATAGTCCATTGTCTAGGTTTTTGCTTAACTACAAACAAATGTTACATTGGGCTTATTACGAATTTTATAATTTTTCACATACCACCGATATTAGCGCCACCTACCAGCAACAGTAAGTGTACCACAATTTGAGAATTTCTACTCTAGCATTTAGCAAAACAATTCAATATTCACTAGCGTTTTTCATTAGTAAGTCGTTCTACTGTACTATTTACTGTCGTAAGTGACTTATGAAATAGTATCATATTGTTACGTCTCCGTTTGTTAATTAATTTTCCGTAACTTCGTTCCGACGAAACTTTAGCGACACAAGTCCTTACCTAATAAAACTGGTTTATTCTTTCCGAATATAACTTTACGATACACTTAATTTCAACATTCGCGCTAAAACAAACACTATAACGAACGAACGTTTAACTTCAACAATACCCTGTGACTGCAGATCAATTACTCACTACCTACACACATTGTTCCGTCACGTTGTGACCATCTTATATATACCAGACTACCCTATATCTAGTAATCTCCCGACAATTCACGAAGGTTGGAGAGAAGTGGCGTGACACTAGTCACGTGACCTCGCTGACGCAACACGGCCCCCTACTTAGTATTGTTCGTCCCGACAATAGCCACTT